CGGCCTTCCGCTCCAAGGGAAACACAGTGGTGTAGCGCGTAAAGTCATCAACGAGCACTAGAAAGTAGCACTCGCGACGCGGTCCAGGGACGGGGGCTGGGCCCTAGACGTCCAGGTGTAGGGTCTGGAGGGGTGCGGTGGCAAGACGAAGCGAGGAGGAGTGAGGAGCATGGCGCAGCCGGCCCTCGATGCATGGCGTGCACGGCAGCGTAGGCGAGGGAGGGAGGGCAGGAAGCGACACAGGGAGACCTAGGACGAGACCGTGCTGGGACATAAGACACAGACGCGGGAGTGCGGGGTGACCTAGGCGGTGGTGCCACAGAAGCGACGGGTGAGTGAGCGACCGACACGAGCACGCAACAGCAACCTGGGTAGACGCAGGACCCGAGGAGGACGGTCCACCGGGGGGGGGGAGCAGTGTCCAATATAAAGAGGCCAGACACCGGGTCCCGGGGGAACGTCGCAAGGGGAGAACCTGAAGCGGCCTCGGTACAGATGGCGTACCGCTCATGACTCGGAAACGTAGTGGTGACATCGAGGTCCTGAAGACAGCGGACACCAACTAAGTTCCGGGAGAACGAGGGGATGTGCAGGCCTGTAAGGGAACCCGAGAGAACCGCTGGACAGGGAAGGGTAGTGTAGTTGCGAGCAACTACAGGATCAGAGGAGGGGTCAGCAAGTGCGACAGCAGCAAATGCAGAAAGCGGCGTAAGCGCAGCGTGGTCGCGGAAGAAGCAGGCAGACGCACCGGAGTCAAGTGTGAAGGACGGCGAAGCGGTAGCGGCGGACAAAGTAGGAGCAAGGGTAGAGCCTAGGCTAGACAAAGCAACTGGTCCTACGCCTGACGCAGCAGGGGTGTCAGTACTACACACACGTGCTACGCCTAAGCTAGAGAACATAGGGTAATAAGATCCGGACACACTAGAAGCGTCAGCACACAGAGAATGCAAGGCCGAACTAATTTATCCATGTCTACGTCAAAAACAGGCACACCGTTGCGCAGCAGACTGGGCCAGTCGGGGAGGTCGGGGGCCGGGCCGAAGCGGCGACGGAAGAGGTCGTCGAGGCGGCAGAAGCAACGGGCGGTCGGGTGCGGGCGGCGGCACACAGTGCCACGGAGGTTCCCGGTCTGGAGCTGGTACTGGCAGCCAACAGCACCGAAGCCGCCGGTAGACGCCAAGCTGCGAGGACCACCACCGCGGCCACCACCTTCAGGGGCTCCTGGCCATCCCGGCGGGAGGCGGGCCCACAGCTGTTGCTGCTGCGGCTGCTGGTGCTGCTGCGACTACTGCTGCTCGGCGAGTGACGCCGTCATGGCGTGAGGGGCCGTCACGGCGCGCTAGGGGCCTGCTAGGTGCGAGGGGCCGGCAGGGCGCTAAGGGGCCGGCACGGCGCGAAAGGGATGGCGGGCGCGCTAGGGGCCGGCGAGGTGCACTAGGGGGCCGGCGATACGCTAGGGGCCAATGGGCGCGCTAGGGGCCGGCGGTACGCTAGGGGCCGGCTAGCGCGCTAGTGGCCGGCGGGGCGGTCGGCGTGGGCTAGGGGCGGAAGTGGGTGGGCGGACCTAACCTACTCATGATACCATGTTAGAATACAGGAATGACTAGAACAAGAGAGTACAGGGGAGATATAGGGTTGGAGTTGTACTCTCTAAGAACACAAGTCTATCTAGCCTATAAATTCTACATATAACCATATGTATAAGTTGACAATTTGGTCGTACTGTATTTTACTACAAGAACTAAGTCAAGGACCAATCACACCAGAGACACATGCCCTAGTATAGCCTCAGTGCTGCAGGTAAATTTGGCCAAGGACCACAAAGCTCTCCTCTCACGTGCTCTATCGCAACTCCATTTCGACGCGGGATTTTGGTCAATGGCCAATCACGCCCCTCACACGTGCTCTAGCATTCAGAGTCCGACCCCATTCCAGTGTGAAGGGTTTGGTGGGGGGAGGGGGGGGTGGGGGGGGAGGGGGGGGGGGGGTTGTTTGTTTCAGGCTGGAAATTCATTAAGGCTGATTGATCAGGGTACAAGAAACAAGAACATACGAAAAATCAGGCCCAGCAAAATGGGAACCCATTAAAATCAGGGCAAGGGAAATGTAATACTCGAAAAATCAGAGCGACCATTGTAAAACACCTGATATACAGGCTTTTGTTATAAAGTCACCAGTCCTAACCACTGGGACAAGAAGGGATGTCATCAAGAGGGTTAGGCTCCATAGATCCACCTTCCTCGAAGAAAGCCTCCCCAGTACCCTCCCTAGAGAGAGAGGGAGAGAGGGAGAGAGAGAGAGAGAGAGAGAGAGAGAGAGAGAGAGAGAGAGAGAGAGAGAGAGAGAGAGAGAGGGGATCAACGGGGTAATCCGTGTGCCACGACACCCACCCAGCTGGGATAGCATGTGCACCAAGAATTGAACCCCGGATGGCTTTGATACCATGTCAAAACTCAGTCACTAACCACTGAGATAAAACGGCTTGTTAATAGCGGATCAGTGCGCCCATAGCTCCCCAGGATCTGCACCTGTGGCCCTACCCCAAGGATCTTCTCAAGGGCAACTCCAGCGGATCACTCGACACCCACCTTCATTGGGATAGGTGGAGGACACGAGTGCCTCTGCTGCGCTAGCACTGGGATTGAACCCGAATCACCAACACTCTGATAGCATATCAAAACTCAATCACTAATCACTGAGTTAAGAAGGGATGTCATCAGGAGGGTTAGGCTCCATATATCCACCTTCCCCAATGAAAGCCTCCCCAGTACCCTCCCTAGAGAGAGAGAGAGGATCAACAGGGTTATCCCAGTGTCACGACATCTTTCAGGCCTTTTTTGCCTAACTTCTGAATCCCTAGTGGCCAGGATCTAGAGTTGGTGGAACCAAGAGTAAAGTCAGCGGAAGACTTTACACCTTGTATTGGAAATGTCCAAAAATGATAGTTATAATGAGTAATACATGTCAAACATAACTTTGTACGTTGTTATAGACTACATAGGGTTGTGCCTTAGAGAGTACAACCTACTAGGTTATATTCCCTTGTATCCCACCACTCGTTAAATTTGATATGGTATCATGAGTATGTTAGGTCCCCCCCGCCCACTAGCGCTTCCGCCCTAGGTCCTAGCCGCCCCGTCCCCCGTCCCCCCCCCCCTTCCCGTGCTGGAACGTCCGCTAGTGGCCCCCGTCGCCTAGCCGGCCTCGTCACCAAGCCGGCCCTATAGCTCAGCCGGCCCCGCCTCCTAGCCAAACCCATCGCCTAGTCGACCCCATCGCCCAGCCAGCCCCGTCGCCTAGCTGGCCCCGTAGCCAAGCCGGCCCCGCCTTCTAGCCGACCCCGTCGCCTAGCCGGCCCCGTCACCCAGCCGGCCCCGTAGCCCAGCCGGCCCCGCCTCCAAGCCGGCCCCGTCGCCTAGCCGGCCCCGTAGCCCAGCTGGCCCCGCCTCCTAGCCGACCCAGTCGCCTAGCCGGCCCCGTCGCCCAGCAGGCCCCGTAGCTCAGCCGGCCCCGCCCCCTAGCTGACCTCGTTGCCTAGTCGGCCCCGTCACCCAGCCGGCCCCGTCGCCCAGCCGGCCCCGTCGCCTAGCTGGCCCCGTCGCCTAGCAGGCCTCGTCGCCTAGCCGGCCCCGTCGCCCAGCCGGCCCTGTCGCCTAGCCAGCCTTGTCGCCCAGCCGGCCCCGTCGCATAGCTGGCCCCGTTGTTCAGCCGGCCCCGTCGCCTAGCCGGCCCCGTCCCTCAGCCAGCCCCGTAACCTAGTCGGCCCCGTCACCTCACCGCCTAGCCGGCCCCGTCGCCTCGCCGCCCGCGGCCTCGTCTCCTAGCTGCCTCGCGGCCCCGGCTTCATCGACCCTCTCCACCGCACTGCACCGCACTCCACCACACTGCTCCGCACGGCACCACACTGCACCGCACTACATTGCACTGCATCGCACTGCATTGCACTGCACCGCACTGCACCGCTCTATACCGCACTGCACCTCCCTCTACCGCCGTCTACCGCATTGAACCGCACTGCACCACTCACCACTGCTTCCCGCCGCCCTTTGTCCCTCAGTACAGCCCGGTACCACTTTTCTGCTGCTGCAGCGACCATGATGGCAGACTCGGTCCTGCACTTTTATGCGGAGGGGCAGTCGGTTGAGTTCGACTCGTGGCTCAACGACCTCCGCCGCCACTTGACTGGTCAGCGGCAGGACGGCCACTCACTGGCCGTCCACATCGACGGTACGCTCCCCTGCGCTGACCCCCCTGCTGCTCTACATGCTGACCCCACGTCTGGTGACCGTAAGTCCGCTGCCGCTGCTGCCCTTGCCCGTGTTGTCTGGCTGTCCCGTGACGCTGTCGCACAGCTTGCGATTAGTCATGCCCTCCCTCTGTCCGAGTGCCCCCGCTTTAGGTCGGCCAGGACTGCGCACGAGTTCCTAGAGGTTGTTGTCGCGCGCTATTCCACTCCGCCCTCTGCCTCCGTCGGTCGCCTGATCCTGCCCATGCTCTTTCCTGATCTCACGTCTTTCCCTACTGTCGCTGACCAAGCCGCCCACCTGTGCACGCTAGACACGACCTGGCGTGCTGCCTGCACTGAGGCGCAGCTTCGTGTGTTTCAGCCCCCCATCTGCTCTACCCTCTACCTGCTTACCACCCGCCTCCCTGACCGCCTTGCCACCACCCGCGATCACTTCCTCAGTCTCCACCCCGCTGACCTCACCCTCACTGACTATGTCGACGCCCTGTCTACCATAGAGACTCGTCAGCGCTCTATCGCCCAGTCTAGCGGTACCGTGCCAGTATCTATCTTTCAGGGCTGTGCCCCCGCTCAGTGCACTTACTCTGACGGTTGTGCTGCTGTCGTCGAGACAGCTCCTGCTGCGGAGACAGCCGCCGCAGCTCAGTTTCGTCCAGGTAAGGGTCGCCGCCCCAAGGCTGAGCGCGGCGGAGGTAGCGAAGGAGGGGGTGGTGGCGGTGGTGGAGGTGGCTCGCCCGCTGGTGGTACTGACGAGGGGGCTAGGGCTGGTGCCTCGGAGCAGCAGCCCCAGCAGCAGCAGCAGCAGCAGCAGCAGCAGCAGCAGCAGCAGCAGCAGCAGCAGCAGCAGCAGCAGCAGCAGCAGCAACAGGCGCCGCCGCTGGACCAGCAGTAGCAGCAGTAGCCGTAGCAGCAGCGGCGGTGGGTCGGCCGTCTCCCGCCCGGGTGGCCTGGCGCCGGTAGTGGCGGTGGTCACAATGGTCGTGCGCGCGGCGTAACGTCGGATGGTGGACAGAGTGATGGGTGCAACCAGTACTAGCTCTAGACCGGTCCTCGCCGTAGCCTCGTGTGCGGTAAGATCGGCCATACCCCCACTCGTTGCTTCAGTCGTCTAGATGACATGTTTCGTCTCTGCTTCGGCCTGTCGCCAGACCTCCCCGACTGGAACAGTCTGCTCCGCCATAGTGTTAGGCTCTTTGATATGGACATGGATGAGATTAGCTCTGCTTTGTATGTGCTGTATGTTGATGACTCTAGTGTGACTGGCTCCCATTACCCTGTGTTGCCTAGTGTAGTTGTGCCCAGTATGCCTAGTGCCGGTGCACCCCATTTTCTGTGGCCTGAACTAGGCACACTGGGCACACCTACGCTAGGCAACACAAGGCAATAGGAACCAGTCACACTAGAGTCATCAACATACAACGCATACAAAGCAGAGCTAATCTCATCCTTGTCCATATCAAAGATCTGAACATGACGACGGAGTAGACTGTGCCAGTCGGGGAGGTCAGGCGACGGCCCGAATCGGAGACGAAACAGGTCGTCTAGGCGACGAAAGCAACGAGCAAGGGTGTGGCCGATCTTACCACACACAAGGTCGCGGTGAGGACCGGTCTGGAGCTGGTACTGGCAGCGCCCGTCACTCTGACTACCACCCGACGACACGCCGCGCGAGCGACCACTGCGACCACTGCCACCTCCAGCTCCAGGCCACCCGGGCAGGAGACGGCCGACCCTCTGCTGCTGCTGCTGTTGCGCCTGCTGCTACTGCTGCTGCTGGTCGAGCTGCGGAGCCCGCTGCTGCTGCTGGGGCTGCTGCTCTGGGGCACCAGCCCCAGCCCCCTCGTCAGTACTACCAGCAGGCGAGCCACCTCCACCACCGGCACCACCCCCTCCTCCGCTACCTCCGCCGCGCCCAGCCTTGGGGCGGCGACCCTTACCCGGACGAAACTGCACTGCGGTGACTGTCTCTACAGCCGGAGCTGTCTCATCAACCTCAGCAGAACCATCAGAGTAAGAGCACTGAGTAGGGGCACAGCCCTGAAAGATATAGACCGGCACAATACCGCTAGACTATGTGATAGAGCGCTGACGGGTCTCTATGGCAGACAGGGTGTAGATAAAGTCTGTGAGAATGAGGTCAGCGGGGTGGAGACTAAGGCAGTGATCGCGGACGGTGGCAAGGCGGTCAGGGAGGCGGGTGGCAAGCAGGTAGAGGGTAGAGCAGATGGGGGGCTGAAACACACGAAGCTGAGCCTTATTGCAGGCAGCGCGCCAGGTCGTGTCTAGCGTACACAGGTGGACGGCTAGGTCAGCGACAATGGGGAAAGACGCATGGTCAGGAAGAAGCATGGGCAGGATCAGGCGACCTACAGAGGCAGAGGGCGGGGTGGAATAGCGCGCAACAACAGCCTCTAGGAACTCCTGCGCAGTCCTGACGGACCTAAAGCGGGGGCGCTCGGACAAGGGAAGGGCATGACTAATCGCAAGCTGTGCGACAGCGTCACGCGACAACCAGACAGCACAGGCAAGGACAGCTGCTGCAGCGGACTCACGGTCAGCAGAGGTGGGGTCAGCGGGGAGGGCAGCAGGGGGGTCCGGGCAGGGGAGCGTACCATCGATGTGGACGGCCAAGGAGTGGTCGTCCTGCCGCTCACTAGTCAGATGTCGCTGGAGGTCGACGAGCCACGAGTCGAACTCAATCGGCTGCACCTCACCATCAAAACGCAGGACCGAGTCCGCCATCATGGTTGCAGCAGCAAGAGAAAGACAGTACTCGGCAGGCGAGCGCGGCGGAAAGCGGTGATGTCCGGTGCAGTGCAGTACTGTGCGGTGGAGGGAGGTGCAGTACGATAGGGTGCAGTGCAATGCGGTGCAGGGCGGTGCGGTGCAGAGCGGTGCAGTGCGGTGCCGTGTGGTGCAGTGCAGTGCAGAGCGGTGCCGGGCGGTGCAGCGCGGTGCAGAGGGGCCGAGGACGGCGGCGAGGCGTCTAGAAGACGGGGTCCCGGGCGGCAAGGCGACGGGGCCGGCAAAGAGACGGGGCCGGCTGGGCGACGAGGCCGGCTAGGAGGCGGGGCCGGCTAGGAAGGGGGGGGGGCGAGGTGACGAGGCCGCGGGGCCGCTAGGGGACGGGGCCGCGGGGCCGCTAGGGGATGGGGCTACGGGGCCGCCTGGTGACGGGGCCGCGGGGCCGCGAGGTGGTGGGGCCGCAGGGCCGCTAGGGGACGGGGCCGCGGGGGCGGTAGGGACGGGGCCGCGTGGCTACTAGGGGATGGGGCCGCGGGGCCGCAACGTGACGGGGCCGCGGGGCTGCTAGGGGACGAGGCCGCGGGGCCGCTAGGGGACGAGGTCGCGAGGCCGCTAGGGGACGGGGCCGCGGGGCCGCTAGGGGACGGGGCCGCGGGGCCGCTAGGTGACGGGGCCGCAGGTCCGCTAGGGGACGGGGCCGCGGGGCCGCTAGGGGACAGGGCCGCGGGGCCGCTAGGGGACGGGGCCGGGGGGCCGCTAGGTGACGGGACCACGGGGCTGCTAGGTGACGGGCCGCGGGGCGACGAGGCGGCTAGGACCTAGGGCGGAAGCGCTAGGGGAGGGGGAACCTACCTACTCATGATACCATGTTCAAGTGAAAGAATGACTAGAACAAGGCATACAAGGGAATATAACCTAATGGGTTGTACTCCCTAAGGCTCACCCCTATATAGTCTACAAAAACATACAATATATGTTTGACATGTACCTATTCGTAGTGTATCACGACTATTCGCGTGACATTAGTGACTGTTCGTCTGACTGAGAGTGGCGTGACCCTTCGGGTGACTACACGCGCGAACCTACTGTTCACGCGTTGACTCGCTTCTGCTGACGTCATCACGCCCGTTCTTCCATACGAGGTATCGCGCTACTAGTACAGTCCGAGTGTTATATCAGGAATGCATAAGTAAACTCTGTCGAGATGAGAAATATTGGTGTATTTGATCCTCCTCGTGGCCAACACAAGTCACACACGAACCATAGGCCTCACAGAATGGGCAGCAGTGTGTACACTGGATAGAAAGCACAACCTTTATAATGCGGTTTGTTGGTAAGAGATCGGTACTATTGACCCATGCATGCATGGCACATGGGCATTGAGAGGAGAGTGCATGTCCTCTCATCAGCCTAGCATAACAAACATCTTTCCGTCCCCGCATGCTTACATACCATGTCACTACATGCTGTCCTTCCTTCCTATCCTATCCTCACTCCCACTTGCTGCTCCACCGACTCAGCAGGGAGCAGCACCACAGTCTCTCCTGCACCACTACCTACATCTGAAGTAGATCAGCAACAGACAACTCTCTAGTCCCAACTCGTGACCTGCTGTTCTAAACCCAAACCTCTTCTCTCACTCCTTACCCTTTCCTACACCCTCCACTCCACCCCCCTTCCAAGCCCACTGCAGTTAACCAGCCCCTCTTTGTACACCTCTCCCCTCCCATTATCCCATCCCCCACTCACACTCGCCAACCAACCACTACCCTTCAAACCTCAGCACCCCATGATAACGCATGGCCTCAGCCACGCCCCTGCCCTCCCCAAACCTCAGCCTCATCAACCCACACACTCGACCAACACACTCCCAAACCCCACACCCCCCCCCCCCCCCCCCCTGCGCGGCTCGCTTGGCCTTGGCCACTCCCCTCGCAGTGTCCTCCCGGGACGCCGCAAAGAGCTCCATGCACCGCGCACCTCTCAGAAGCATACCCAGCCCATGCGCCCTCACATATTGCGAGGGGTGAGGTGAGGGGTGCTCTCGGAATTGTGAGGCGTCCCCCGCAGCTCTCCCTGTGCCCCTCACTTGGCTTTAGCCACCCCTCTGGCCGCCTCCTCCCGCGACGACGCGAAGAGCTCCACATACCGCGTGCCCATGCGCGACCGGTCCCGCCCCATGGCGGACGCAGCGTCCGCAGGCGAGGCGAACTCGGCAAAGGCCTCCCCTGTGGAGCGGCCATCGGCGCCCACGACTATGTGCACACTGGCCTCCGACAGAGGGAAGCCGTCAAAGAACGCCACTATGTCCTGATGGGGGGGGTGACAGTTGGGGGAGAGGATGGGAGAGCAGGGTGGGAGAGGAGAGGAAGAAAGGCGAGTGGAGAATAGGGAAGGTGGGTGAGAGAGAGGTGTGCTCTGAGTCGACTCAAAACAGACACACATTTGCAGGTTTGAGCATGCATGTTGATGGAGAAGGGGAAGCGCAATGAGGTTGGTTGGCACAGAGGTTTGCACTGAACAAGACATGAGAGGGCATGGCAGGGCACGGCATCCATGGCATGGCATCCATGGCACGGCATCCATGGCACGGCACGGCCGACACTCTGCGCCCCTGCTTGCAGCGCAGGTGCACTCTGTGTTCTCCCAATCGCCCCCAGCACCAACCCCCCCAGCACCACGCCCCCCCAGAACCACTCCCCCCAGTACCACTCCCCCCCGCACCACTCCCCCCAGCACCACTCCCCCCAGCACCACCCCCCCCCAGAACCACTTCTCCCAGCACCACGCCCCCCAGCACCACTGCCCCCCAGAACCACTCCCCCCAGCACCACCCCCCCAGCACCACTCCCCCCTGCACCACTCCCCCCCAGCACAGGCGCCCTCCTTCCCGCCCCACTCTCTCCCCCTACCCCCCCCTGCCCACCTGTTTGGTAGCGGAGTAGGGGATGCCTCTGAGCTTGAGCACGCCTGTGTGCTCCACTGCCGGGTGCCCGTCCATGCCCCCGCCCCCCCCCTCCCCATACGCCCGGTACCCCCTGCCGCCCCCCATGCGCCCCGGCCCATGATGCCCCTGGGTCTCTGTTGGTTTGGGGGAAGGAGTGGGGGGATGTGGGCGGGGAGCGGGAGTGCGTGAGTGATGCCATTTCAGCGGGAGCAATGGCTGCTAAGAGGAATCAGTGCAGCACTGCTGCTGCGCGCCTGGCGCCTTGCCCTGCGCGCATCCGGCCCCGTGGAGGGCGAATGAATGCTGACCTGGCACCGTGGAGGGCGAATGAATGCTGACCTGGCCCCGTGGAGGGCGAACGAATGCTGACCTGGCCCCTTGGAGGGCGAATGAATGCTGACCTGGCCCCGTGGAGGGCGGGCGAATGCTGACCTGGCCCCTTGTACTGGCCGCCGTCCTGTGCGACCTCGTTGGCGACGGCGTTGTAGTAGTCGGCGCGCTTGCACCGGAAGATTTCCACGTACCGCCGCCCCATGCTCATGCGGTTGCGCTGGTGGGCGGGGGGGAGTGGGGGTGGGGGACGGGGGGGGTTGGATGGGGGGGGTTGGGGGGGGCAGACGATAAAGGGGGTGCAGGGAATAAACCCCAAAACGTGAACGATAAACCCTAGACCGTACCGCCGCCCCGTGCTCATGCGGTCGCGCTGGGGGGGGGAGGGGGAGGGGGCGGGGGTTAAGGGCATGCGGGATGGAAGGGAGAACGCAGGCGGGCATGAGGACATGGGAGAGAGGCTGAGGCGCGTCTCGAACGCCCCTTAGGACGACGCCGCAGATTCCGTTCCAGCATTGCCCACTGCCCACTGCCCACGGCCTACTGCTGCGAGCTATGAGTCAATTCTTGAGTCGACTCAAAAGTAGACTCATAACACACGGAATCCGTTCCACCACTGCCTACTGCCCACTGCTGCGTGCTACCCAACCCACGGACGCAGAGCCACGCATGCGCCTGCTGTGAATCCCTTCACAGCGCAAGCCACGGATCAGCGCACGTGCAGCGAATACATCTACACGCAGCCGCCACAAACGGAGCCCTGGAACCACGGAGCCACAGATCCATCTACACAGATCCACGAATTCCCGCACCTGCAGCGAGAGGGACTCCGCCACACCAAGCCCCGCCGTCCTCGCTTTCGAGTCAACTCCCGACGCACACGGGACGCTACAACCGCGCAACGCGACGCACCTGCAGCGAGAGCTTTCTGCGTATCTGCTAACACGGGAATTCCCAAACATCTCTCACCTGCAGCGAGAGCTCGGCGTGGATGGGGTTGGCGAAGACGACGAGCGCCTCGCCGGCGAATCTGAGGTCGCGGCGCAGGAAGAGCACGTCCGCCACGTCCAGCCCCGCGAAGAACTCGCACACGTCGCCCTCCTCGCACGCGAACGGCAGCCCGCGCAGCTTCACCACCGGCAGCCCGCGCGGACCGCCCCCCCCGCCGCCGAAGCCGCCTCCGCCGCCGCCGCCGCCCATGTGCATCCCCCCGCCCCCGCCCGGGCCCCCGCGTGTCATTCCGCCGCCGCCGCCTGGGTAGCCCATGCCGCCCCCCATGCCCATCATCATGCCCGCTCCCCCGGGCCTGCGGGAATCGGGGGAGAAGGGGTGGAGGGGGGAGGGGGGGGGGGGGGGGGGGGAAGGGGGGAGAGGAAAGGGGGGGAAAGGAAGGAAAGGTGGAGGGAGGGGAGGGAGAGGGTGAGGGTTTGTGGCGAGGGGACGGGGTTTGGCGCGAGCGGCAGGGAAGCGAGGCGCCAGGAGAGACGGCGCAGAGAAGGAGCCAGAAAAGAAGGCTGCCGCACACGGCTGAACGAACTGCTGCGCCAGGGGCGGCTTCCGAAATCTTTTTTGAGAATTCTAAAAAATCTCTCGCAAGGGTCCAAGCGTAAGCACGGCGGAGTGAGAGCTTGATCTCGAATGGGCGGACTGATTGCGCGATGCACGGAGGCGGAAATGACGGGTGCTGCGGACGGGACGGACTAGTTTCCTGGCTGGTTAAAAACTCAGACGACTCACCCGCCGGAACCGTACATTCTGCTGTGCAGGCGGGCGGGCCGATCACAGCCGTCCGATCAAAACGCCGTATGGACGGTGTGATCGCTGGGTTCAAACGACGGGCCGCGTCAGTATTTCACGCCGACGGTCTCTCGGGGGTAGTCGAATCACGCCCGTTCGTTCGACGCGTTACGCGGAGTCTCGAGATCTGCTCGTCAGTAATACTAGCGGACTATGAGGTACTAATGCGTACATCCACGTGAAAGGGCTGCTAGTGCGGGGGAATGCCTGAGCGACAAGGGCACGAGAGATGTCGTGCACGGTAGGCCCTGTACAGTAATTCAGTCTGTAAAGATTGTTACAACAGCACAACGCATGCAAACAATAAGGTGCTTCATCTCCATGAAGTCCAATCCATGCCAAGAATCTCCCACGCCACGTCCCAACAATTTCTCAGCCACAGGGCGTGAGCTTGCTATTCCCCCAGCCGCGTCGATGGTCATCCGTATAATCATCCCACTTCCTAGCCTTATCCACATCTTCCTCATCATCCAAATACCTCCCACCCATCCTCCTCTCCTCCTCCCCCCCATCATCCTCCTCATCCTCCCCCTCCTCCCCCTTCCCCTTCCCCCCCGTGCCATCATCCTCTCTTACAATCATGCCCTGCTCTTCCATCTCCTTGCGCGTGCGCTCCTTCCAAGCCGCCATCATCGCCATCTCCCTCTCACCCGCCTCCTCAATGCTCATCCGGGCCACGCTATGGCTCGGCTGAAACACCCGCAGCGACGCCAGCGGGTCACGCGCTGCTGCAGACCCACTCCCAGACATACTCCCTGTGATCCCCCCAAGGACGCTCCCACTCCCCGGCCCAGATTTAGCCGCAGCACTCATGAGGCTCATAGGGCCAAACACCATGGGGCTAGTATGCCTATGATTGGCTATCTCCTCCCTGGGCACGCGCCCCTCGATCACGTCCTGGGCGAGGGTGGCGCACGCAATGGCTTGTGGGGGCACAAGCTGCCTGCCGCCTGCAGCGGCGGCGGCAGCTGCAGCGGCTGCAGTGCGGTGAGATCCCTCCCTCTTCCGCAGACGGTCGTCCAGCGCCTCCGGTGCAAAGGGGTTCATGGAGGCACCAGTGCGGTCAGACTGGGAAGTGGAGGTGGAGGGAGGACGAGGGGAGGGCGGGGGGGGGGGAGGGATGGGAGAGGGAGTTGCAACGAGAGGTCAATTGCCAGAGAGTAAGTGGTGAGGAAGGGTGAGGGTGAGGAAGGTTATCAGCATCAGCGGAACAAGCACCGGGGGGTGAAGTATAAAGAAGTCAGAGTCAACAACACTCGCACGCATTGGGAGAACAAACGGCAGTGTTGCATGGAAGGGGCCCGGGGGAGTGAAAGGGAGTGCTACTACCTGGAACTTGTAATCAGCAGTGGCTGCCTCTTGCAGCATCTGCCGCTCACGAGCAAGCGAGTCAACCAGGTCCAACGCCTGCAGCACAAACAAACGAGCCAACCAGACACGCGCTCAGATGCAGCACAGGAGACGCGTGCAGATGTAACCCCATGGCTAGAACCGCTGAGCTAGAAGTGCCCAGGCCCACATTCCGACAAAGTCTTATCTGGGAACAGAAAGAAGATAATAGGCAACACGGAATGTGCCCGGGTCACGAGCATAAGTGGCGAGGTAGACCTGTCACCAGTGAGATGAGCAACATACCTTCACAATCGCAAGCCGCAGCGCCAGCAGCCATGCCTGCACGCAACCAGCAGATGGGAGAGGCAGGAATGGTGGGGAAAATGTAAGAAACGGACACACAGAATGCACATGGCATGTCCGCATAAGAGACTGAAGGGGCAAGAAGCATCAAACACAGAGAATAGAGACGCCATGAAGCCCAGATCAAGCACTCATCAATGGCAGCAACGTGTGAAGGTGCAGAACCCGCAACTGAACCCCGGCTCCCTTACCTCCCTCTCGTCAATGTCCTCGTCATCATCCTCCAAGTCATCTCCAGCAACTGCCCCAGCGTCCTCCGCACTCGCGTCCTCCCCCGCGTCCGCCTGTGCGCCTGCCCCCGGGCGCGCCTTGCGGATGCGCTGCTGCCGCTCCGCCTTGCGCCGCCGCATGGCCTCCAGCCGCCCCTTGAGCTCCCTCTCGCGCTTGAATCGCTGCACCTGCAGGGACGACGGGGGACACACAGGGAGGGGCGCGGAAGGGTTTGTGGTGGAGACAGGGAGGGGAGACACATCCCCCCAGCCCAGCCACCCCTTGAGCTCCCTCTCGCGCTTGAATCGCTGCACCTGCAGGGACGACGGGAGAGGGGCAGGGAGAAGCGTGGAGTTGTTTCTTGTGGAGACAGGGAGGGGGGAGGGAGCAAGACCGGAGAGGCGGCGGGAGGGTGAAGGAGTGAGCGAACGCGAGAGAGGGAGAGCTAGAGGACAGGGGGGAAATAGTGTATAGGAGGAGAGGGAGCGGGTTGAGAGGAGAAGCGTACCTTGAGGGCTCTCTTGGCGGCAGCATCCAGGTCCTTCACCTCTGAGCCCGATCCATTCCCACTGCTTCCACTGCCTGCTGCTGCAGACGCTGCAAGCGCGTGTGCGCGCACCACGTCCGACCGCTCCGCCTCTAGCGGCACGCGCAGACGATCCATGGAGTCCAGGAATGACTGGCAGGGGGGGAATATTCGGGGTGCACGGGCACGGCACGGCACAGCCAGGTGAGTCAGGCATGCGAGAGGAGACAAAGAATGAGCGGGAGGGAAACATTGGGGGGAGTGGAGGAGTTGAATAGAGAAGGCAATGCATGCAACGAGGAATGGAGACTACAGACGAAGAAACCGGATGGAGATGGAGCGGAAGGGCGGGTGAGACGACGGAGAGACGGCAGCAGAGAACTGGGCAGGATGGAACGTCCAGAGCTGTAAGTCAGAAAAGAGAAGGCAAGGCGACGAGGAACTGACAGCAAGGTGCTGGAGCGAGGAGCGGAGAGCAGCGGTGCGTGCAGAGGCGATGGTCGCTGGCGATGAGGCGGGACGCAGGGCGGAAGAACCGGGGGCAGCGGAAGCGGCAGCAGCAGAGGAGGGAGCGGGAGCGGCAGGCAATGCTGGAACGCGTTGCAGTAAGTCCGCGTGCAACCACGGCACCTGGGAGCACGACGGGAGGAAGGCGGGAATACGCAAGGGAAGAACGTAATGAGTCTCACCGCTGCAGCTTTGAACAGGAGTGCCGAAACCACCACCACAACCAAAAAAAAAACCATAATTTGTCTCAAATTTCAGCAGATCCGAAAGTGCCTTACCAAGAGGTATTTGATGTCGCCAGTGGCGACGTCGTCGATCTCCTCGTTGGACGAGAAGAGCGCGAGGTGCCGGATGCGCGACGTGCACTCCGCCAGGTACTTTATCGCCATCTCCACTTGCTCCTGTCGCCGCGTATTCAGTATGTCGTCGAGAACGGCGGGAAGGACGAAAAACAGCATCAGAAAAGGAATCTCAGCAACGAAAAGCGAAATTCAGCGGGATGGTTGACGGTATCCCGACATTCGCAACGCAATTGCTAGCGGGTTGAAGGAAGGAAAGCAGGGAAAGCGCATGAGCGTACCGGTGGGACTGACTCGGAATCGGCTCTAGAGTGAACATCGTAAGCCTTGTCGAAGAGCGCGGGCAACGAGAGCCCGTCGAGCAGCAGCTCTTGCGACGACGTGGACGTATCGGCTGGTCGATCTGTTGACACGTCCGCCATCGCGGAATCTAAGACGAATCAGGCTAATTACTCGAGGAGGTGCGGAGAGCTAACAGAGAACGACGACAGTCAATCGTTGTAGACAGACAAACTTTAGGGTAGGATGGAAGGGCGCGCAAGCGCTTTATATGAGGTATGAAGCAAGTTCTCCAGCCGTTCAGAACACCGTTTCGAAGTATCTACTACGGCTCGTATGTTCCACAGGGTCCTAGAAGGGCACTCTGGTGACTCGTTTAAAGAACATGGCTTACAGTCATCTATCGGTGGCAAAATGTGGCACAAGTATGGGTGGGAGCATCCCGTTTCAACACAGGTATAGTGGCATTGCAATTGCAGAACATGAGCACTGTACTCTGAACAAATACGGTCGGGACCGCCCCTACAGAGTCATGGCCGCGATTGAAGCACTGACGGACAAATTCGCAGCCTTGGGCATTCAAAAATTCAAACTGCATGCGAAAACACAGTGTATGTTGCAGTTGTACGACGTTCGCCAGACTCGCAAATAGCCCTCGTCACAGTTGCGAAGGGTTAGGCAATCAGGCATGGTGCTCTCTCCTGGCATGCAGCACTCCAAACACAAATCCCTTGGGAATGGCTCTCAAACCGCACACACAAATCCGTCTCGCTTGGGTATTCTTGAGAACTCCCCATATCCGCTGGTGGCGGCCACGGAACTCCAGAGGCAAGCAACTCCCATGCTTCTTCAGGTTCTTTTCCCGCTTGCTAATGCGATGACCATCAAGCTTTTTTTTCCGTTTCTTACCCAGCCGACTGGATTTGATCATGCCTCGTGACATCCCACTATGGACGTATGCGGCACGGATGATGATATCGGCAGGCCGTGTTTTCTCCTTTCCCCACTACTTCTCATGCCTCATGATGTACTGACATTCTTCTCTTCCCTCCCCCATGTTTGAAGCAGGATGTTCGGAGTTGGAGACGTGGTATGGGTTCATTTTTATGGGATTGTTGGCGGATGGCCTGCGCAGATATTGGAACAGCAACAGCCACAGGAGGAAAATGGGGGAGCTGTGCTTGTGCAGCTTCTTGGAGATAAGGTACAGTAAGCAGCAGTTTTGTGGAGGTTTGTTTCAGATAGTATGCTGATCGTGAGCATTCAGACTAAAGCGTGCTCTATTTACATGATTTACGCTTTCCAGTTTTTCTCTCTTGCTCTCACCATTTTCCCGTTTCCCTCGTTGTGACAGAGAACGGTGCGGTCATGGGTCACCACTGGTTCCCTTTATCGGTGGACTCCTAAAATTCGAACTTGTTTTGGTTTGGAACATGATGTAAGCGTTGTCTTTACAAGTACCTGGCAAACAATTGTTTTCCAGAGTATCTTTGCTTGAGAATATGTGGCTCATGTACTCAACTGTTTCAACGTTTCCTTCGTCCAGGCCATACAGGAGTTTCATGCAGCAAAGAAGGAAGCTGCATCCATCCACAGGAAGGCCAAGGAAGGAGTCCCTGTGGTTCCAAAATCTAGCAAGCGCGGTTCACAGCTATGGACTTCAGCCTTCACTGTCAAGATTTTGAGAAAAGGCACCAACAGCTGGAGCAGCAGCACCAGCAGTTGCAAAAAATGTTACAGCAGCTGCAACAGCAACTGCCGCAGCAGCAACTGCAGGAGCATCAAGATTCACTGCAGCAGTCGGAGCAGCAGGTGTATGACCAGCAGCTTGGCAAGAAGCAGCCGAGCAAGAAGCAGCAGGAGGTCCAGCAGCAGCGTGACCAGCAACAGGGTGACCAGCAGGGTGACCAGCAACAGGGTGACCAGCAGCAGCATAAGGATCCATCAGCTTCAGGTTGCATGTAGCCCTGCTTTGCTGGCCAAGGAAGGGCGTTGTGATTTCAGGAAGGGCCCGGTCTTGTGGCATCGTGATTGTTATGCGCATGTCAGACGTGTCACCAGAAGTTTCCGGATTGTTTTGACCCATGCACTGAAAACAGTGGAATATTGGCGAGGCTTCTGGTGTCAGTCTGATCCTTCTGTCCGCCCTCCTTTATCTCGCCTCGAGTGTTTCATGGACTCAGGGCTGTCAGTGCCCCCTCCCCACGCCCTTACAAGAGGTGGTGAGGGGATCTCTCTCCGAATTCTGCCTTGAGAGGGTATTATAACTTGGCACTGTTTCCAGAACTCTTGTACCAAGTACTATACCGAGTTCCAAGAACCTCATTTACTGTAGATACGTAACTAACAACGCACTGTCATCCTAGGCTCTTTCAAGAGAAGTGTCATCCAATTATATCTACGGTACATGGCTCCAGCCCAGCTTGCCCTGGAAGGCAGAAGAGTGCGTGCCCGGTACAGACAATCTAGAAGCTCCCACCCAACAGAGCTTTGCAGAGCAAAGGCGTGCAGCCTGTGGTGGCTTCACTGCACATAAGACTCGTTGCCCAGACCCCAAAGCGGCTGGCGGGTCACCTTGATGGCCAATGAGGCGTGAGATACTGCAGCCAGTGGTGATGATGACCATGGCAGGGGGAATGGGGCAGACGCAGGGGAGGGGGGAGAAATAGGGAGAGTGAGACGGTAAAACCCATGAAGGAAGAGGTATGCTGCAAGATGGAAGCGACACGGCACTGAAACAAAAGCGACGGTGATCTGGAGCGGTGCAGTGCATCGCAGTGTAGTGCAGTAGAGTAGAAAGAGGGTTAGTATGGTGGGGGAACATCAAGCACAGCATTGCTGCTGGCAAGCAAAGCGCAAGAGCAAGAAAAAAGGGCGAGAGCAGGAGCAAGCAGGAGGGGAGTCACATCAGAGCGTGGGGAAGTCCTGCAGCCCGCCCCATCGGGGGTCCACGACCTCGAGGGTGGTGAAGACGAGGCGCATTCTGTCCGCCACCACCGCGGCCGGCTCCGCCACGCCCGCAACCGCCATCTGCTCCATCTGCAGCCGCCCCACCGAGTACCTGGTGCTTGCAGCGGGTGCAGGGGAGGTTGGGCGGTGGGGAGGTGGGGAGGTGGGGAGGTAGAGAGGTGGAGGGGCACAGTGCGGTGAGCTAGATGGCTATGCATGCTTGGCCACTTGCTCCATCGCCGCCGCCATCTACTCCATGTGTAGCTGACTCACACAGAACCTGGTGGGTGGGGGGGATTTGGGGCAGCGGGAGGGGAGGGGAATGGGGGTGGGGTGTGGAAGAGGGAGGGGGTGATAAAAGAAGGGTGTTCTGGTATTGGAAGTAGAAAGGAGTAGAGACGAAAAGGACGTCAGCTGGGGATAGAAGAAGGAGGATGAAGGAGCAGCAGCACACTGGCCAGGCCAGACTTTCAGTGCAGTACGCATTGGCCATGAAGACCCACTGACGAGTAGAGCGAAGTAGAGAGGAGCAGACAGCAAAAAATTGTGAAGAGAAGTCAGTGGGGAGCGAGCACAGCGGCACTGACCAGGCCATGCCTTGCGTGTAGTAGGCGTTGGCGATGAGCGAGCAGAAGCCCTGCCACTGCACGTGCGAGTCGGGCGAGGCGGCCTTGGAGAGCGCCCAGCGCGTGATCACAGGCTGCGGCAGCACCGCTATGGTCACAAACACTATGGCCACCCACAGCACACACTCGTGCACCTGGTGGGGGAATCGGTGAGAGCATTCGGTAAAGCAAGGGGGGTGAGAAGGCACATTACCTATCTGATTACACTGGTGCCCACTAATGCACGGGCACACGAGTTCCAGCAGCACTCCCACACGTACCTCCTGTCTCAATTCCGTGGAAATGGTTGCGGAAGTCACAGAGGGAGGGAAGGATAGGGACGACACGTCCCTTTCCTCTGCTGCCGTTGCTGGTAGTCCTACTGCTTCTACTCTTTCTATTCTTTCTAACGTTGCTGGTGGCGAGGCGGCAGCGCCAGCAGGTACTGTTGGAGGAGATGCGGCTTTTAGTGTGGGTGTGAGCAGCGCAGTGAGCTCCCGCCTTAGCCCCTCCTCCGTGCACCCCACGGCATACGCTGCCACCGCTGCTCTCGCAAACTCCTGCACCAAGGGAGGGGCGTGCGGTGCCGAGAGTGCGAGGGGACAGAGAGATAGAGGGGCGGAGAGTGCGATGGGAGGGAGGTGGGAGAGACGGGAAGGGCAACCGCAGGAGAGGTTCAGCAGTTGTCCACTATTTGAGATAAAGCCTCCTTAAATTTATTGTTTAAATCAGCTCAGACTGTTACAAATTGTTAGATTCGTTCACTTTCCTCATTCATTCCCCTCAGTTAGCGTTGCTGGGCCTGTTCCTCTCAGTTAGCGTTGCTGGGCCTGTTCCTCTCAGTTAGCGTTGCTGGGCCTGTTCCTCTCAGTTAGCGTTGCTGGGCCTGTTCCTCTCAGTTAGCGTTGCTGGGCCTGTTCCTCTCAGTTAGCGTTAGCATCATCGTCACCTTGAGGTGGTCGCGGTAGCCACTGTCAACGACGGCGCGGTAGCGGCGGTGCAGACCAGCAGCTATGGAGCGCGGCGAGGACATGTCTTCACTGTCTTCGCCGTAGAGCGAGAGAGGCGCGGAGGAGGACGAGGGGGTGGGAGAGGACGAGGAAGAGGAGGACGAGGAGGAGGAGGGTGTGGCGTGTGCTCGCCACGTGGGTCGCTGACGGATGAGATTGAGGGAGATTCGGGGGAACGTGGGGGGGAAAGGGGGGCGGGGGGGATGGGGGGAGGAAGAGTGCGGTACATAAGGCGGAAAGGGTGGCGGTACATAAGGTGCGGCAGATGAGGAGAACAGGAGATGCGGCGAAAGGAGGGGGATTTGCAAGCGAGCGATAGAGAGGACGAGACGGGAGGACTGACACGAGGGGAATGAGTCGTTGAGAGGGAACTCGCGACCTCGACTGTATCCCCGATGCAGCACATGGTAAAGAGATGGGACTAATGGGATCAGCTAATACGCATCCTACCCGCCCACACGCCATGCGCACCTTCACGCGTCTAGTAGCTCGCATGCCGTTCCGCGGCACGGCTGCCTCGTGGATGACGTGGCGTTGCGACTCTTCTCCGCTCCACGTGGCGGCCAGCGCGCCCGGGCGGCATTTGCCGGTGGATGTGAGAGCTCTGTGAGAGGTCGCGTGGGAAGGCGCAAAGCTCCTCTCACAGCCGTTCTGCTGAAAGCTACGGCCAACCAGATGCAAGCTGGACGGAACGCCTCTCCGCGCTCCTCGTGTCTTTAGAGATGTCCCGGCGATAGGGTAGGACGGCAGTGCGGATAGCGGCGGTAGGCACGCTGTCTGCCGGAGCGCCATGGCGGCACGTGCTGAGTGCAAACGCGCGTGCAGGCGACTTGGTTCGTTGGCGAAGCAGGGTCAACAGCTGTGAGATTTATATGACGGTTCGGTCAGTAGTAGGAGGCGGCTAACGGCAGTCAGCATGAAGTAACGACGGCACGTGAGAACAGAATGCGAGGAAATATAAGGCGACTTTTGAGTCGACTCAAAAGTCACGAAGGCTGAGACGAGGAGGCACCAGAAATATGTCGACTACTTGTGAGGAGTTGGGGGAAGGTAAATGGCTAGCGGATGGTAGGAGGTAGGCAGGCAGTATAGTGAGATGGAATGTGGGATCTGAATTCTATGGTGGGTTGGTTGCAGGGCGGAGCAGATTCATGCAAGGGGTGTTCGTCCGAACGAGGACGACAGCAGCGGGTACAAAAGCTGATATTTGCTCATTCAGGGTGACGTGGATCCACCGCCAATTTGCTGGATCAGTGCTCAGCTAGCACGTGTACTACACATTGCACGTGCCATGCTTCCCGCGTCGTTCCATTGGACGATGTTCAGTAGCTCCGTGTGGTAGAGCCAATCACTTTGCAGTGTTGCTGCCCTCCGTTCTCGCTACAAGTACACCCAGCATATAAGTGACCAACGCTCGCGAAGAAATGGCAACTATGAGGTTGACAACAAGGCAAAAACAATAACAATATAAACCACTTGGAAGAAAAATGAAAGATACCTCAATTCCCCATCATCCCTACCCAACGCTCGAAGAGAAAGCGAGAAGCCTCAAATCCACATTATAATTCAACCACTGCAGCTCCAGCCGATGACCTGTCGAAAGCACCCCTGTTGGCTCTGGACAGCCCTGCTGCCGAATGTAAATGGAGTGAGGATGTGGGGGGCGGCAGCACTGAGGGTGCAAACACAATGCTGGAAGAGTGGCCAGTAGTCAAGTGAGCAGCAGGAGCAGCCGGCTTAGCTGCCGCCACGAGAGAATGCACTGGGGCAGGGCTTCTGACAGCTGCTGCCGTTGCTGCTGCAGCAGCAGCTGCAATAGGAGCAGGAGCGGACGCCATGGGGAGGCTACGATGCAAAGCAGGCGGGATTATTGCAGCAGCAGCAGGGGGTGGCCGGGCCACAACCACCTGCACAGGCACCGCCTTTACAGGAGCTGGGAGGGCAGCAGCAGCAGGTCTAGGCGGTGCAGCAGCAGAGGAGGAGAGGGAGGAGAGGGCGCGGTGGATGGCGAGGACGAGGGAGCGCGAGGTGAAGGAGACCTGCTCCTTAATCATGAGCATGAGCGCGGACGAGAGAACTGTCTTGAGGATCTGCGCCTGGATGCCCTTGAAGAACCCCGGCAGCCCCTCTGTCTGCCATATCACACGCATCGCCTGGAAGGCACGGTGGAAGGAGGGTTCGGCCGGGAAAGAGGGCCGTCAGCAGGAGAGATATGAACAACGAAAACCCAATGAACAAAGATACTGGATTCCTTTTCAGGTCGTTATTGATGATGACTCTGAAAGATGGGGCAAATTCCTGGGGTTTTTGTCAGCTCCGTGCCTTTTGAACTTCACACATGACTTGGGGCACAGGGTAGTACTGGTATACTCCTCCTCTTGACCCCCAAAGGCAGAAACGAGTGTTCAACGCAGACTCATGAAATGAGTAGCACATGCAGAGGTGTGCAATGGATGCATCGGCGATCCATGGTTGATGCACGGCGGCGGTGGGTACGTACCAGAGCCATGGACTTAGGAGCGCCGGCGGTAAGGTCCCCTGCTGCCCTGCGCTGCTTCTCCTCCTCCGTCTCCGCCCTCTGCATCATCACCTTGCACCTGGTGGCAGCAAGATCGGGATAGATTGATCACCCCCACACGGGCACAGGCACACACAGATTAGAGATGATACGGATGGCAGGTTTGCGGCAGTCCATTATCCATAGGCAAGGGGAGAGCAGTCTAGCATAAGGCGCAGAGTATCAAGATTCGTTCAGGCGTCGTCAAGCGAATAGCTGATGGTACACCTGACGGCAGCGAGATGCGGCGCACCTGATGGCAGGGTACGTGGCGATGGTGGCAATGGTCTTGGAGAGCGCGCCGATGGCAAACGCGGCTGCTGCTGACAGCGCTTGTGGCGCAGCTGACGCCGCCCTGCCGTCCGCTGATGCCAGCGTGGCGTTGCGGCGCAGCCAGCGCGTCTTGATCTGCTCGAACATGGTGTACTGCCGTGGGGGGGGGGGGCAGGGGCGCGAAGTAGGAGAGGGAGGATGGAGAAGGAAGACGCGTTAAAAGGGAAACTGAGAGAAATGTCAGGAAAAGGGATGGTAAAAAGGTGAGCCATGGGCCAGCCTGAGCAGTCAACTAAGGGACGTTAATGTAGCCATGCGCCATGACTAGAGCTTGCCTTTCATTTGCCATTAGCTGTCAGCCGCTTCCATGAAGCAACCAAGAGCTCCCCCATTAAACAACCAGGTGAATCAAACGGTCTCCATGTGTCCCCTCTATGCCAGCCATTGATCCATCATCCACCTTCACTCCAAACCCTCCCCCCCTCCCCACTCCCCTCTCGCATCTCACTGCCCTCTCATCTGATCCTCGTCCCCTTCGTGCCTCCCACTCCCGCCTCGCGCGCACCTGGATGGCTGGGTTGGAGACGAGCAGCAGCGACACGCCGAGCCCGTCGAAGGCGTGCGTGAGCCCGCCCTCGCGCAGCATCTCCAAGAACCCCTTGCTCTCGCCCGGCCGACTCGTCTGCATGCGCGCCGATAGCGTGTCCCACGGCTACAAGGAGGGGAGAAAGGGGGGGGGGGGGGGGAAGGAGGAGCGGCGCGCGAGGGAGAGGCGGGGGGAGGATGAGGGCGGGAATGGAGCGCGGAAGGAAGCAGAAAAGAAACGAACAATCGGTTGAAAAGGTGAAGCGGGGAGAGGAACGAAGGGGGGAATGGGAGGCGAAGTTGGACGTACATAACAATGACAGAGAAACAGCGGAATCGACACGCCGTTCCAAGCCATTTACCCTCAATCGAGCTCCTCTACCAACGGCTGACACGCCGTTCCAAGCCATTTACCCTCAATCGAGCTCCTCTACCAACGGCTGTCAACCCGACTGGACTGAACTCAAACAGACCCGCATCTGCACCGGCCCCAAGGACGGCACTTCTTCAACGCCGCTTTAACACCGACTCGGCGTCGCACGCACGCACCTGAGTCACGACAGCGGTGCACGCGCCGGCCGACGCGGCGACGGCGAGATTGGCGAGCAGGCCCAGGTTCTTCTGCTGCGCGGACGCGAGGTAGCGCGACTTGAAGAAGGAGTAGGTGTAGAAGTAGACGAAGCCCGTGAGCACGGAGTGCATGTTCTTCGTCGCCAGCCCCGCGTACAGGCTCGACACGTCGCCGCTCGCCACCGCCTCGCGCAGCACATCCAGAATGTTGCTGCGCGGACCGTCGAGCGCGGGGGGAGGGGAAGGGGAGGAGGGAGAGAGAGAGGGAAGGGGGAGGGGGAAAGGGCGTATGAAGACGGGAGGGGATCAGGCGGACATAAGCGGTGGGGAATAGCGGAATGGGTGCAAGAGGAACGGAGAGCATGCCGCCAATGTGCGCGTGGCGGGACCGTAGGAAGGATCGGCCTCCAGAAGCAGCAACGCCCTCTGGAGGAAGCAGCACAGCTCAGCACAGCTCAGCTCAGCACAGCTCAGCTCAGCACAGCTCAGCACAGCTCAGCACAGCTCAGCTCAGCACAGCTCAGCACAGCTCAGCACAGCTCAGCACAACTCCAGCCGCTGCTCACCTGTATCGTTTCCGTCCCTCTGAAGCCGCCTCCGCTTGGAATCGCGTTTTACACGTGTCGAGCGGGTACAGGATGGTGGTGCTCAGCAGCCCACCCACTGCACCGGCCGTCGCCTCCGTCAGCGCGCGCAGCGAGGGATCGTCCATGGCCATGCTGCTGCTGCTGCTACTGCTGCTGATGTACGGTTGAAGAAGGGTGAGAAAGAATCAGGACAATACGCGCTGGCTGCGTCGATCTTCAAGTCGACACGAGCAGTACGGCAGCTGACGGGAAGCCGGCTCGCGAGCTAGCGGCAATTAACGAGGTAGGCGTGACAGCACAGCCTGCGGTCTGCTGGACCAGGCAGATGCGGAGAAGCGGAGGCCGGATTCGAGCAGAGGCTGATGCTGTTGAGACGATATGGGAGGTTGTTGGATGTCGCACCAGAATTAGTGCCTAGTCCGCCTGTTATGTACGCTTGAGGTTTTGAATGGCATGCCAGTGGGGCAGATACCCTGCTTCTGTTGGCCCACCGACGCCCAAGGTGGCTGTGCTGCGCTGCTATGTGTGTGTGGCGCACTCACCGTACCACACCATACCAAACTACATGGTTGCCTCGGGAATTACCCTGCCTGGTCTTGCTGCCTTGCCTGAAAACCGCCAAGCCTACAGGCTGGAGGTATTTGGCGCTGTGGTGCGGAAATACCCTTGAGATCGCCAAGTCGCCATTGACTACCTGGTTCAGTAGTCAGCTCAACAGCTTCGGCAGTTTAGCTGGGCTTGATGTGATCACACGGATGGCCGAAAGGGCGTGGTCTGGCGCTGTGGAAGTCATCAGATTGGCCCTCCTTGAGCAAGCCAAACAGGCCGAGCCTGGACCTTCAGCCAGACACAGTTTGCTTCGGCCTGACGTGTTGCAGCGCACGATGTTGCTGGTGTGTCCTCACGCCAATACACGTAAGGTTTGCCCACATCAGGCCTACGTGGACCAACCGGTCATGGTACTAGGGAGAGAATTGACACACATGTTTGCGAAAGCACTTCGGCGAAACTGCGTTCGACAAGGCGCCATGTGCCCCACCAGCCACACTTGCCAAAGTGATTCTATCCGCGGTAGACATAAACCCTGTCTAAATGGAAGCAAACAAGCAAAAATATATTATGAGATCGCTACCATTATTATAGATTAGGTGCCTAAAAACAAGCACATAACGCTCTTCAAGCCGTGCCATCAATTTTATTTGGTATGACCTGAACAGATTGTGTCACAAACGGATAGTGTACAACCGAGGAAACAAAGGTCACATGCTTTCTGGCAGCGGAATCCCGTGTTCCAGGTTTTCTCACTTCGAGCACGCGGACAAGCTTCCGTGCCGTGGTTTCACACATCCCATATTCGCGAGGGCTCCAAAATCGGTACAGGCGCAGCATTAGACGGCATGAAGGCATTCGCGCAAACGCTAGAGCTGAAGGACGACCCGGCGCTGATTTCGGAGTACCTTGAGTACCACAAGCGCGTATGGCCCGAGGCAAGGTTTCCACCTTTAGACGACCATGAAAGTCCCCATGAATGTTGAGCGGGCCGTGCATTCGCGACACTCCCACACTGTGCTCCTTTTCGTCCGTTCTGTCCAGGTGCTATCGGCGATCCAGGCAACGGGCATCAGCACGATGCGCATCTTCGTGCACGGCAACCGGCTATTTATGTACGCGGAGGCGCCGGATGACTTCGACGCTGCCAGGGACTATCAGAAGTACACTGCAAGGTAAGCGGTGCCACGTGGTCCGCTTCGCTATTAAGGTGGCGAGCAATGCAAGTGATGTTCAGCGGGCCGACGTCAAGGTGGGTTTGACGACGATTTTTTTTATTTTTTTTTTTGGGCTTTAAGGAGATCCCAGGAGGAAACCAGGCGGTTTGACGACGAGGCGCTATTTTGTGCTGTATAAACGTGGGGTAATGGAATCACGGGGGAGATGGTTAAGATGGGTCTCTCATGCCGCGTATCACATCCCATCCCATTTCTGTGCAGTGCGCGTGCTCGCGAGTGGGATGAGCTGATGAGGAAGTACCAGCAGCGGGTGCCCGCAGCGTCCTCTAACCCTGACGAGTGGTGGTCTCCCATGGACCTCTGCTTCGACCTTTCTGATCAACTGCAAAAGAATGGTCCTGGGTAACGGAACACTGTTGGGGAATGATACGAGATGCTGCTGAAAGTTGCAGCATGCGATCAGGCACAAATGTATGCATGTTGTTGGAATGGTAAATGTAAGGTTCCAGTTAGCGATGGTTCAGAAGGTTACGTAGGAAGGGGCCACTTGGATAGCTCGTAGGGGACCTCCGAAGGGTTGCGGCGTCGACCTGGGGGGTGTGGGTGAGCGTACCCACCATAGGAAGTCGCCCTTATATCCAAGTTCGTTAGCTAACTGGAACTTTCCCTGGAGGTTATGCAGCAGAAACATCCTCCTCAAGCTAGTGAACGTTGTTGAGGTAGCTGTGGGCATATCACTGATTAATTCTACCACCCCATTATGTTCGCCAGAGCTACAGTGAATGGCATTCATTGAGCAGTTACAATCAGTAACAAGAGCTCCTGATCCAGCCATCTAGGCGAATACGGTTGGCACTAATACAGCCCCGTGCACAATACAGCTGCTGCTATTAGTAATGCCTTCGTGCTCATGCCTTGTGCGGCTCAGCACAAGAGACCTGCTCGAACTCGCAGAGCACACCAAGGTTGTCACGTGGATCCAGGAACAGGACTGGGTTTCCATGAGCACCGATCTTTGGGTTGCCGTCTCCCAGTACGCGAATCCCCTCCGTGGACACATGCTTGGAGGCAGCACCGATGTCATCAACCTGCACCATGGCAACAGGGACACAGAGAGGGATTAGCGGAAGAGTAACATAGGAAGGAGATGTTTCACGAAACGGGCTGACCAAACAGACGAGGACAGCGAAAAGCAGGAATAGGAAAGAGGGTTTCGTCAGGGAATATTACAGTGAAGCAGAGGTGGTGCATTCCTCCCCTAGGGTTCTTCTCGAGGAACTTGGCGATGGGGCTCTTCTCTCCGAGCGGGTGCAGGAGCTCCACTGTACAGTTGCTCACTTGAGCAATCACCACGCGCACTCCATGCTCGGGCAGATCCTGGGAAGTGGTAGGAGGAGCGCACACCGGGGTCATCAGGTTTACAGAAAGCGAGGTACCGAGTTGGATTCGGCGGGCAAGTAGAGCTATGCGCCAATGAACAACTAGCAGGACAACGAACTCGAAATGATGAAAGAACGCTCGTAGGCTGATTGACAAGACGTCGTCTTACATGGGGCTCGGAGACCTGCGCGCCGAATGTGGTCCGGTAGAACTCCGAGGCGGCAGGAAGATCGGGAACAGCAATGGCGATGTGGTTCAATCCTCGCACATTGTAAGGCAACGCTTCGGGAGGGCCACGGATGTTCACACCGCCGTCGCGACCGCCACTGCCATGGCCGACTTGAGAGAACTGCATGGAAGCGAAACATAATGGGAAGAAGAACCATTCAACTTCTCGGAAGAAGCCGCGAGGATACATAGCAACCACGTGCAGACGTCAGACATGTTGGCAGAGTTATTCATGGTTTAGCTGCCTTGTAGCGCATCGCGGGGATGATGCTTTTAACACCCCTTGTTAGCACCTTGCTCTCTAAATGCTACTTCTTAACGTATACACTTCTTGTTTACATCTGCAGCTGAAGGCGTACTTATGGAAACAGCACACCACACGTCCCCGTGGCAAAAGACACGAAAATAGCCGTTCTTGCAGGTGCAAATGAGACGGGAGGTAAGGTGAACCCTAAATGTATAAGAAAATTATAACGAACCTGTCGAGTAAGAGCGGGGAAAATGCGGGTCGGAGCCGGAGCAGCAGCTGGGCTTCCCGACAGGACTCGGGCATAGTTGCTGCTTCGACGTGCCACTACAGACACTGCGCGGAGCCACATGGCCATTGTGGAAGGAAAGTCTAGTCAAAGAAGTCGAGCGATTTGGTAAGCGAAGTTTGGAACGGAGATGGAGCGAAGATGGAGCGAGGTAGGCCGATGTCGGATGGAAGGGCGATGGAGGATTGGCGGTGATGGGCCGTGATGAGTGGCAGGCAGCGGCAGCAGCAACAGCAACAAGAAGCACACAGGTGAAAAACAAAGCTCGAGGTGTGCATAAAGAAATGATGGGTGGAAGCGGCAATTGTAGTTGCTCTTGGTGCTCCTGAGGCGAGTTCTCTGGAAGAGAAGGAACCCGGCAGAACAGAAGATGGACTGGGGGATGGGAGGCTGGGAAAGGAAAGGCTTGGTCCGCCAGCCACGCTCTCTGCTCGCCCAAACCCCTGGAGGGGGCTCGCGGTTTGTTTGGCTCAACGATTAGGTTCGGTAGGGGCCCGAAAGGCCCGGCGATTTGATGCGTCTGGTTAGGAAGGTGTGCAGAACGAATCAGGTTCATTGAGTAAAGCACGGAAGCAGATGCGTGCCACGTGGGTGAGGGGGCTCTGCCTGATGCTAGATCCAGCCATGTAGGAATTGTTGACCAATGAAACGAGAGCGAACCAACGTTGACCCCGCATGGCATGTTGCCATCTCCCGGCCTTCAGGAGACAGCACACAAACCCAAGGCAGAAAAGGTGCGAGTGATATCTTTCCGCATAGACCGACAGATTCGGATTTGCTCGATACTAACCAGCCCGACTTCAAAAGAACACACATTCTCAGAACAGGGAACAGCGTATAATTGTTAACATTATTTATCACGAGGGTAAGTGTCCAATCTCGAAGAGTTTAGGCCCCTTTGCCTCGTTATAGGCCTCGGGGGCTAATCCTATGGCGGGGCACTTATCCGCGAGAATGCAGTTGTGGATCAAACTGCAAGTTCGTCGGACGGATTGGTAAACGGGGCAAACGCAGCCTCCACGTCAGCTTCATCCACCTCCTCTTGAGAGGACGGTGACCACTTAGGGCTCTGCAACCATACAACGTAAGAGTGTCAGTAGGGATATAAGAGCATAAAGCAAAATGGCTGAAAATAAATATTCCGAGTCTTGTGGTAAAGACAAAAAGCCCAGTGTGAGCAGCATACAGCATCTCCAGCATACCTTGTCCTTGTCTATGAGCACTGCACGGACACCCTCCAGAAAGTCGGGCCTCGTGGACGTGCGCAGTGCCATGCGGTACTCCGTGCGCATCACATCCTCTATCTGAGAATGCACGCATTGAATTCCACCAGGCCCGGGGAGAGAGAATGGCATGTGTGCGGCAAAGAGATACGAGGGGAGGGGAGAGTCAATATGAGGGGTAGGAGAGAGTAAATCTGACCGGGAGGAGAGAAAAAGATGCTTGGCATTCACTCCCTGTCCCATGTGCGTACAGGGAGGCAGAGGGAGGACATAGAGGGTGCAACTGATGCAATACTTTCAGTTCAAGTTGCGAAAGATACCTGCACATAGGGTAAGGAAGGAGACCAACGAGCAGTATAGTCCAGCTATGCACCTTCTAAGTGTAAAACAAGCCCCTCAATTAAAACCAGGGCAGGCAGCCATGCCATGCGGATCACACGCACTCCATTACCACATCAGCATCGCACCAGTACTACGGTGGGCATGCACGTTTGAGAGTCCCCACTCAATGCAACACCCTTGGGGCACACACCGAGACCGAGGGGCGCACTCACAGGGAGGAGTTTCTCAGCTTCGGCATGGTTGGGGGCGGTGGCAGCGGCGGCAGCAGCTTGCGCAGAGAGCGCATGGAAGTGCCTGAGAGTGACGGCCAGGCTGAAGGGCGCCCCTGCTGCCATGGCCTGCAGGGAGTCCTTGGCCCACTGCACCACTGGTGTGCGGGCAGCATGCCATGGGGGAAATGTGGATATGTAGGTGGGGAGGTTTGTGGGTGGGGAGGTTTGTGGGTGGAGAGGGATGCAGAGACGCAGTGGAATGGACAGAGACTCACCAAGGCATTGGTATCCACACTCGACAAAGCCAGAGTTAAGACCACACCCTGCATACCCCCACCGCCTCCCCAACCACCTCCCCAACCACCCAACTCCACTCTCTACCCCACTCCACTCCACCTCCCACCTCATGTGCCTGCCTCTCACCTGTGGTGTTGTCACTCTGCTCCTCGGCCCTGAGTGCGCCCAGCACGTGCTGCACCGTGGGGCACTGCGAGCGGTGGAAGCACCGCTCTATGGCTGGCAGCAGCGCCTCCAGCTGAGACGCAGGGAGGGACGCGCCCTCTGCTCCTGCTGCAACAGTGGGCTGCGCGTGGCGCGCAAGGAGGGACTCCACCAGGGATGCGGCGTCTGCGGGGGAGGACGCACTGATGGGGAGATGGGGAAAAGAGGACGGCATTGGTGGGGAAGGCGCATGGGAAGATGGGTTAGAGAGGCAGGGATTGGTGGCTGGGGGAAGAGGGAACAGCACCCCAAGCCGCACTGCCTTGCACTGCCAGAATCCCTAGCAGTGTGACCTCCCCTCGCACTCACAAGTCAGCGGCCAGCAGGTCTTGCTTGAGAGTGGGCAGTGTGGCAGACGGCACGTAGTGCGAGGCCAGCCCTGCCAGCACCGCATCGTGGGGCGAGCTGATGCGCGCTCCAGTCATGCCCATGTACGTGCCTGCCACGCACGGCAAAGGGACATGGCGGGACATGGCAGGACATGGTGGGACATGGCGGGACATGGCGGGACATGGTGGGACATGGTGGGACATGGTGGGACATGGTGGGACATGGCGGGACATGTTTCAGAGATTCGACAGGTGCGGAGGGCGGGATGGTGCGTCCAGTCATGCCCATGTACGTGCCTGCCATGCAGCGCAGCACGGTTGGGTGGGGGAGACATGTCACGGGGGACTTTTGAGGCACCTCAAAAGTTGAGGGCGAGAAGGTGGCGAGATAAGGCAGGGAAACGCGGACCAAGAGAGGCACAGCAGCGAGACTCGTAAACTCCCCGTCGTTTCTACTTCTCACACAGCAACCATAGGGCTTATTTGCTAGAGCCGGACTCGCTCGTAGTGAGCGCGGTGAGAAGTGCTGCCTCACTATCATGTAGTGTAGGCATGCAAAACAATATGCAAAGCGGTGGGCAAAGCGGAGGGGCAATGCCGAGAGGCAGTGCGGAGGGGCAGTGCGGAGGGGCAGTGCGGAGGGGCAGTGCCGACGGGCAGTGCGGAGGGGCAATACCGAGGGGCAGTGCAGATGGGCAATGCCAAGGGGCAGTGCGGAGGGGCAATGCCGAGGGGCAGTGCGGAGGGGCAGTGCGGAGGGGCAATGCCGAGGGGCAGTGCGGAGGGGCAGTGCGGAGGGGCAATGCCAAGGGGCTGTGCGGAGGGGCAATGCCGAGGGGCTGTGCGGAGGGGCTGTGCGGAGGGGCAATGCGGAATGCAAGAGAAGACACTGACCGAGAGCACCGCCGGCAGGCGAGCGAGCGGCAATGCGGGCGAAGCCAACATCAGGGAAGAGACCAATGGCATTCTCAGGCATGGCCATGAGAGACCGCTGGTGGGGGTGGGAGAGTGAGGAGGGGAGGGGAGGGGATGGGATGGGATGGGATGGGATGGGATGGGATGGGACATGATGTTACGTGACGTGACATGAAGCAACATGCGAACACAGAAACGGGATTTCCCAAGGCAGCAATAAGTGATCCAAACGCAGGCACTTGATGGCGCCAAACGCAGGCATTCAATCCCGCCTCTTGAAGGGCACTTAGAACAGACGCTACATGCTAATACAATATGGAGACGTTCTGATAAGAGCTTTGTTCCCAGTCCCTCCATACGCCCCCATACGCCCCTGAATCCCCCGCATCTTATGCCCCCCATGTGCCCCTTACAACCCTGCTACCAACTCCCGACCTTAGTGGCGGCGCGGAAACTTTTGTTGTGGCGCCTCAAAAGTACCCACCCACCTCGGTGACGACGCGGTAGCGGCCGTGTGCGGAGAGCCCCAGGCCAAAGCCCATAGTGACGCCATCCATAAGCGCGATGTACGGCTTGGGGTAGTTCACAATGGCGCATATCAGTGTGTACTCCGCTGTGAACACCTGTCAGAGGGAGCGGTGAGAAGGGGGGGGGGGGGGGGGGGAGGGGATGGAGTGAAGAGTTGCAGGGGAAACAGTTGGGTGGATGCACGCAGCAGTAGTTGAGTTGGGTCGAACAGAAGAGATGGGCAAGCAAAGAAAGACGAGCCGAGCAGGGCAAGCGCCAAGGGAGCTCGAGCGGAGAGGGCGGGGGTGCAAGGAAGGTGAGAGGAGTGAGAGGTGCGATGGCGGGGAGAGGGTAGGGGATTGCAGAGGCTGGAAGAGAGATGCAACGCAGCGATGCCGACGGTAGGAAAGGGGAGTGACGGGGGATCGAGAGCCTGAATGTAGTGTGTGGGGACGACGGGAGTGAGGGTGAAGGTGAGGAAGAAATGCCAGGGACAGACAGCCATGTGCGTCACCGCATGTGCATGTAGGTTGAGGGGGAGGGGAAGGAGGAAAGGGGAGGAGAGTGGACGACGGGAGTGCGGGGGTGGGTGATGCTGGAGTGGATGACCTGCACGGCTGTTAGGTCCATGCCCAGCTCCTCTCGGTTGGTCGTCACAATGGCCTTCACATCGCCCCCTGCCGCCATCAGCACGCCGTCAGCATGCCACGACGACATACAACCCATGGCATGGAGCGCGTGGAAGGAGGGTGTGTTGAGGGGTGGGTGTGGGTAGGGAGGAGGGAAGGGGGGGGAAGGGGGAGGAGACGGGGTAGAGGTTTGAGATAGGGGAAGGGAGAATGAGCACCTGAGGTACATAGGGAGTGGTGATGTCCTCTTTGATGTACCCCACCGCATCCTTGATGTCCATACCTGCCACGCCATAACATGCCATGCCATGCCATGCCATGCCATGCCAAATCATGAAGTATCATGCCACGACATGTCATGTGTAGAGACAGATGCATGAGGCGGAAGTGCGTCCAGCAACCAAACAAGGCAAGGCACCGACGGAGAGGGTCAACAGCAGTGTGTAATGAGTCGACTCAAAAATCGGCTCATTACAGACGGAGAGGGTCAACAGCAGCCAGAGGGAGAACGCAACTGCCAACCCCTCTAAGGCTTCCCTCTCACTCCCCCATCCACCCCTCCGCCACACCCCCTCCCCCCATCCGCACCCCATCACCCCACTCCGTTATCGCACCAGCGGAGAACGCCCGGGGCGTGGATCCCTCCACCAGCACGGCTTTCACGCCCGGGTCGCTCGCCCACTCGTCCAGCAGCGCCTTGTAGGCTCGGTCCATGCCTGGCAGCGAGGCTCGGACAACAGGGCGGATTGGGATCATTGGAAGGGAAAGGGGCGAGGTTGAAGGGAGTGGCAGGCAGGAGTCACCAGGGAGGAGGGGGGGTGAGGGTTCTTTTGAGGCGCCTCAAAAGTAGTCGCAGTGCAAAGGGAGGAGGGGGGGTGAGGGGAAGATCATTCAGCGGAGCACCAGGCAGCGGAATTCGGCCCCGGATTGAAGTCCTAACAATCCGACAGGTCGCCGCGAGAACAGAACCTTCGTGCGCTGACCTAGCCTCATGGCGTTTGCTTTTGAGGCGCCTACAAAGCAGTCCGCCCGTCGCACCTAGGTTCATTCACGGCGTTCAGCGCTTTGGGTCGGTCCGTGGTCAGCGCGGACACTGCCGCACGGCTCTCCCCCCGGCCTCTCTGCCCCAGGCACGGCTCGCACGCACCTAGGTTCATGGCGTTCAGCGCCTTGGGTCGGTCCATGGTCAGCACGGCCAGCCCGTTCGCCTCCACGCGTCCCTTGATCTCAGGCAGGCCGCCCGCGTCACCAGCAGCTGCGGACGTCATCTGGGCTTTGGCGGGAACTACCCGCGCGCTGGCGGAATTGGCGGAAACGGCGGAAGCGGCGGAATGCGCGGACGCGTTAAAGACTGGATTGACTACCCCTCTCGCGAGCCCAGTGGAATTGCCGGTGATCCCGCCGATTCTGCGGCCCGAAGCTGCGCAGCGGTCGAGAAACTGGCCAACACGGCGCGGCGGAAGGACAGCGGCTGTGGTACCGACACGCGGATGAGTGGCAGGGGGAGACAGGCGGAGCGCGCGAGATGCGGGGACGGAAATGTGTGCCGCGCGGGAGGTGCTACTGGCGGAGAGGTGCTGAGCTGCGCAGGCTAACGCGGCGGAAACGGGGGAGCGCGATACGCGCGGGGAGAGAGAGGAGAGCGGGGGGAGGGGCATCGCTGAGATTCGATTTGTCGCAGGTGCGACGACGCGGGACTTCCGACGTTGGTAGGAGGTCGGAAGCGAGCCACGCACTGACTGAATCTACGGCCGTGTAGGTCGTGGTGTGGGGAAGTCATGCAACAGTGACGCATCTCGGTAACAGATACAGCCTACTGCAAAGACCCGAACTTTAAAATATAATGGTTGAAACTTCCAATCTTTCTTCTACAAAGGAATGCTAATTATAGCAAGTGGGTGTTGGTAGAAGCGTACGTGGAGTGTAGGTACGTCCAAGCTCATGCCGGATGAGGTGAGCATGAGGCTTGTATCTGCTGAAACTTAGAAATTGTACCAGGCAAGCACTATGTGTTAAAATTATATAAGTTATAATTTAATATAGGCTTGGTAGGTTGTTATTGAACCTTTCTGTAGGGGGTACAAACCCCTCCTTGTACTCCCCTCTCTTCCTAATCCAACCACCTTTCTTCTCGACATCCTCTCACTTCCTAGATCCGTTTTTCCTCACGCCATTCCATGGCGGTCTTCTTCCTAGTATCCTAGCCAACCTAGCCTCCTAAGTTTAAGAACCTTTAGTCCTAAGTTTCTAAGATGGTATCAGAGCCGGTCGTGTCCACCGGACCCTCTCCCTACGTTCCCGTTGCGTACTCCTACTGCATTCGCAGCCTTCGCGGTTTTCTGCCTGCCTGCCGTCGCGACACTAAGTTGTCGCGACGGCCCCTTGTTGCCTGCCGTCGCGGCGCCAGGATGTCGCGACGGCCCCTTGTTGCCTGCCGTCGCGGCACCAAGATGTCGCGACGGTCCCTCGTTGCCTACCGTCGCGGCGCCAAGGTGTCGCGACGGCCCCTTGGTGAAGCCGTCGCCCGTCCGCCTCGCCGCTGCGACATTGACGGTGCGCTGTGGCGGCGTCTGCGGCAGCCGACGGCATCGTCGGGCTGCGGCCGGCCGAGCGACGTCTGTGGCGTCGCCGGGCCTGCCGCCCGCTCGCCACAGACGGGCGTCCCTCAGGACGACGTCCTCCCGCCAGTAAGCGCCGCGCCATTTATGGCGCGTCGCTGAAGACTCGCCTCGCCCCGCCCCCTCCCCTCCCCCCCCCACCTGCACCTGCTTCCCCTGCATCCCCCCCTTTCTTGCTGCAGCCGATGACTGCCATGTGAGGGACCTCTCCACCGCCGAGGAGACAGGACGTGCCGCCGAGAGGGCGGGGGCCGCCGCACCAGCCTCTGTCGTTCGAGCCGCCGGCGCCGCCGCTGTTGCCGCAGGCCTGGAGCCGCCGCACACCGCCGCCGCCGCCGCCGTCGTCACTGTCGCTGCTGCCGCCATTGCCGTCTCAAGGGGCCGTGAGACCTACCCTTTTCCGGAGTCGTTGCGGCTCCTGCTGGGAATGGGGGTGCTGGGCTAGGGGGTGTGGGTGTGGGGGTGTGCGTGGGCTTGACACTACCAAGCCTAGGGGGTGTGTTAAAATTATATAAGTTATAATTTAATATAGGCTTGGTAGGTTATTATTGAACCTTTCTGTAGGGGGTACAAACCCCTCCTTGTACTCCCCTCTCTTCCTAATCCAACCACCTTTCTTCTCGACATCCTCTCACTTCCTAGATCCGTTTTTCCTCACGCCATTCCATGGCGATCTTCTTCCTAGTATCCTAGCCAACCTAGCCTCCTAAGTTTAAGAACCTTTAGTCCTAAGTTTCTAAGACTCTGGTACCACCATGTCAGTAGTGTTGGGCTGGGAACAGCCCTAGGATCCTTTTAGAATGCTAAGTGCAAACTAGAAAGAGTGATTGATACAAGTGAACAAGGGGGGATATATGTGTTATGGTTGTACCTGTTAAGACTAGAAAGAATGATTAGAAGAAGGGAGAACATGTGAGATATAGTATTTGGATAGTACTTACTAAGAATATACCCTATCTAGCCTATAATATTAACATAACAATATATGTATAAGTTGACACACCCCCTATGCTAGATAAAGGGTAGTGCTTGTTAGAATGCAAGAATGATTGACTAGTGTGAGAAACCTAGAACATATACCTGTTGGGTTGTACTCACTAGAAGCACACACCTAGTCTAGCCTATAACTTCTACATGGTACAGCATATGTATAAGTTGACACACCCCCTAGGCTAGACAAGGGGTGGTGCTAAGCAAGAAGTACACATCTCAGGGTGGCACTACTAGTCCAACCACTGAGGCAGAGGTCCGGAGACCAGTCAGCAAGAGTACAAACAAAACTAAAGCAAGCTAGGGCGGCACTACTAGTCCAGCCACTGGAGGTAAGGCCACTAGGCCAGTCAGACAGGTATATTAATAGAGAGTACACAATCAGGGTCCTAACAAGTGAGTAGCTACAAGAACAAGACCAAGCTGTACACAGTGCCGCTGATGATCTTTAGGCGCAAGCGCTTTAGTAAAGATATCAGCTGTGTTGGCACCGAAGGCCAAGTGAATCACGGGGGCCTGGCGACCCTGCTGTAGCTCGCGCAGGAGGAAGTACTGCAGTTGGATATGCTTCGCTCTGCCCTCAAGTCGAGGCTCCTGGCACTGGAGAATCATGGCCATTTTGTCAGCGTACAGGACCAGGGCAGACCTAGGCCGCTCACCTAAGTCTGTGAGCAAGAAGGTCAGCCAGCGGAGCTCCTGTGCTGCCATGGCACCGGCGTAGATTTCAGCCTCACAGCTGGACTGAGCAACTGACGACGAGCGAGTGGATCTCCAAGAGATAGCACCCGCACCAAGGCTAAAACAGTAGCCCTGAGACGACCTGAGAGTCTCAGAGTCGTTTGCCCAAGAAGCGTCTGTGTGCTCTGTGAGGACCACTGGCCTGCGTCCTCCAAGCACTAACCCCATGCCCGATGTACTTGCTAGATATCGCAAAACCCTCTTAGCGGCCGACCAGTGCTGTGGTCGGTGTCTGCCAGTGGCCACAAAGCGAGCCAGGATGCTGAGAGGGTATGCGAGATCTGGGCGAGTGCAAGTCATCAGGTACATGAGGCAACCTTCCAGTTCTACGTAGGGGCTGCTGGGCTCTACTTGCTCCTCAAGAACGGGAGCAGAGAGCCCATGGTCTACAGGTAAAGGTGAAACACGGGCAGCCACAACCCACGGGAGAAGAACGTCGGGTACTTCTGCCTTCCGCTCCAGGGGAAACACCGTGGTGTAGCACGTGTAGTCGACGACGAGCACAAGAAAGTAGCGCTCACCGCGCGGTCCGGGGACGGGGGCTGGGCCCCAAACGTCCATGTGCAGGGTCTGAAGGGGAGCAGTAGCAGGGCGAAGCGAGGAGGAGTGAGGGGCACGGCGAAGCCGGCCCTCGACGCAAGGCGTGCACGGTGGCACAGTCGAGGAGGGAAGGGCGGGGAGCAACTCGGAGAGGCCTAAGACAAGACCGCGGGAGAGCAGGGTGACCTAAGCATTGGTGCCACAAAAGGGACGGGTGAGTGAGGAACCGACACGAGCAAGCTGCAGTGACCTGGGAGGACGCACCAACCGGGGGGGAAGCGGTGTCGAGGGTAAACAGACCGGACACCGGGTCCCGGGGGAACGTCGCAAGGGGGGAACCTGAGACAGCCTCGGTACAGACACCGAACCGCTCGTGCCCAGGGAACGTAGTGGTGATGCCGAGGTCCTGAAGACAACCGACACCAACCAGGTTCCTGGAGAACGAGGGCACGTGGAGGCCTGTAAGAGAGCCCGAGGGAACGGCTGGACAGGGAAGGGAAGTGGAGCTGCGAGCAACGACAGGACCCGTAGAGGGGTCAGCGAGAGCGACAACAGCATGCGCAGCAAGCGGCGTGAGCGTGGAGCGGTCGCGGAAGAAACAGGCAGAAGCACCGGAGTCGAGAGTGAAGGAAAGCGAGGCAGTAGCGGAGGCCTGGAAGGGAGCCGGTGCAGATACTAGGCTAGGCAAACTAGGCAGTCCTACGGCTGACGCAGCAGGGGAGGCTAAGCTACACAAGGGTGCTACGCCTAAACTAGAGTACGCAGGGTAATAAGATCTACCAACACTAGAAGCGTCAGCATACAAGGCATGCAAAGAAGCACCTATCTAATCCATATCTAACTCAAAGATCGGCACGCCCTGGCGAAACAGGCTGTGCCGGTCGGGGAAGTCCGGGGCCGGGCCAAAGCGACGACGAAAGAGATCGTCGAGGCGGCGGAAAACAGCGGGCGATCGGGTGAGGGCGGCAGCACAGAGTGCCGCGGAGAGGCCCGATCTGAAGCTGGTACTGGCGGGTCACTTCAACGGAGCTGCCGGTAGACGCCAAGCTGTGCAGGCCGCCACCACAGCCACCACCAACGGAGGTGCTGAGCCAACCCGGTGGGAGACGAGCCCACGGCGGGGGCTGGGACAGCTGCTGCGACGGCTGCTGCGGCTGCTCCTGCTGCTGGGACGACGGCTGCTGCTCCTGACTAGCTGCGGCATTCCCCTCAGTAGAACCAATGTTCCCGTCACCACCACCACTACCACAAGCTCCACCACCACGCCCTCCCTGGCGGCCACGACCGGCGCGGCGCGGGCGCTGGTGCGGTTGGACCGCAGCTGCAGTCTCGGTCAGAGGGGTCGTAGTAGCGACCGCAGCCGAAACGTCAGGAAACGTGCACTGGGAGGGGGCGCAGCCGTGAAAGATAGAGACTGCCGGCGCACCGCTCGACTGAGCGATAGTGCGCTGGCGAGTCTCGATCTCAATTAGGGGGGTGACTAAGGCTGTCAAGGTGAGATCATCCGGGTGCTGGCTAAGGATGTGGTCGCGTGCACTAGCAAGGCGGTCGGGCAGGCGCATAGCGATAAAGTAGAGGGTCATGCAGAAGGGGGGAGGGAGTGCAGTGAGCTGGGCAGCAGTGCTAGCAAAGCGGTTGCGAGACTCTAGGGCGCGTAGGTGAGTGGCAAGACCACGTCGTCTATGTAGACAAGGATGTAGAACGGAGTCTGGCCAGCACGAACGAAGAGCAAAGGGTCTGCAGCAGACGGAATGAACTGCAGGTCAGCTAGCGTAGAACGCAGCGTGTCGTGCCACTCACGGGGCGCCTGTCGCAGGCCGTAGACCGGGCGCTGGAGGAGCCA